CAACACTCAACCCCACCCCCGGCCCTGCACCAGCAGCTACCCCGGTCCCAGGAGTGGTGGGTGTGGCCCCGGGCGGGGTTTGGGGTGGGGCATAAAACCCCATTTTTGGGGTTTAGCCCATGTGGTGCGCGCTCTCGCTGCGCAGCCCCCACTATTTTTTTTATTTATTTATTTATTTTTGAATTTTTTTTGAATTTTTTTTTTTGGGGAGGGTCTGGAGCCGGGGCTGGGGGTGCCCACCCCCAGACCCCCGGACCCCCGCCGGGGCCCCGGGGCCAGGGCTTGACAACCCTGCACCAAACGACCGAATTCTCCAACAGGCTCGGACCTCCCCAAAAGTGACGTGAAAACCAGACTTCGCATATGTCACGACTGCTTCCAACTGCTGCGTAAGCGCAGGAAGTCCATCCTACAGACTCATTAACGGGATATTCCTAGAATTTCAGAGAATATCCGAGATTTCTGGAATATCTTCGATTCTGGTCATGATATGAAAACCACTCCTCTGCCAACGTCGATCCTCGTCTACACATCTACAGACTGCGTTAGCCAGTTCTAATCGTGCCATACGCCTATGAGAGAGAATCAGATCCGCCACCGACTTATTTTTCTGCCACACTACTCTAACTCTTTTTGCCAGGAACTCACTGATTGAACAAGGAAAAGACGAAGCTCGGATAATACGCAGAATGAGGTCATGGATCTGCGCCGTACATAGATGATGATCAAACTGTACTTTCACCGGCAGACCGCGCCGTATATCAATACCGATTCGCCTTTTTATTTCCCGTGCCAAAACAAATTTTAAAGTAGTTCTAGTCTGTTTCTCTGAGAATCCCCTGGCTGCTCGAAAAAGCTTCAGAAGGTCATCCGTGGAACGTTTCCATAGAAAGCGTCTGCGCCAAGGTAGTTCCAAAAGCAATCTCAACTCACCTTTGTGCACCGCTCTTCCCCCTGGGGTCAGCACTATAGGTCCAAACACGAAAGACCCTCCTGCTTGAAGCGCATCTCTCGTCTCTCTCAGACTGGACAACTTATCCGGGATCCTGACAGAGGAACATCCAAAAATCCTACGGACCAGCGATCATCGATCCGACCACAGCGTACCTGGTAAGCTCTCAATCACCACATACCTTTTCCCGGTGATATAAGCCGTTCGAAGCAGGCTAATCAAGCTATCTGTCCAAATACCACCCTCCAACCTGAATTTTATAGGACATAAGCCGTTATCCCAGGGTGGGATTGTGCCACAACGTTTACGTCTAGAAGCCCGATTCTGGGATTTAGAAAACTTCCTACATCTTCGCGTATTGAGTGCTGGAGTAAATGTCCTAATTAAGGCCTTCTCCAATTGCCCGACAGACGCCAAACCATTTGCCAAGGGTATCGTTACATACTTGTCGATTCCAAACTTACGCAACCACCTGTATAATTTAGGACATACACCGAGTCCCCCTGAAAAAGTGGTCCTTACATGTTCTCCCCACCTAATATAGATACTTTTGATAGTACTACCTACATACTGTTATCTACACTAGGGTGAAGCAAGCATGTAAACCGCAGGTTTTGTGTCCCAATTACTCTAGTCTATCGAAGCTATCATGAATTGAAATTTCCTCATCCATTCGATCTCGCCTTGAACCGCTAACCCCAGAAAACATAGCGTACAACACTTATCTATCAGCACCCGAAGGCGATGATGAGAAGACAATGGCAAGAGTGATGACCGTAGCCTTAACACTTCAAACAAATTCTGCCATAGTCTAAATCTTACCTGGCGTCGTAGTCAATTAGAAGGCAGTTCAGGATCATTCGGAGACTCAGGAGTTGTCGGTGCCGGTGTAAAAATGAAACCTTCATAAGCAGCCTTGACACGGGTTGCAATGATTCGTTCGATTGTGGGTCTCTTGGTGCAATAATGGACACCTTCCTTGGTGCAAATCTTTCGCAAAGCTTCTGACTTAAGTGCAACCAGCTCCGCTCGTTGCTCCAAAACATAGTGTAGCAGTCCCTCCGGTCCACTCCCAGCAGGAATCTTCGTCCCATTCTTCTCTTCTCCTCGCCTGGAGGATTCTGCACGGAAACAATCATTCTCCTTCGCCTGGTCGAACGCCGGCTGTCTCATACGCGCATCATCCCGTACAGGAGTCTTACCACTTCTCTTCCTTTCTTTCAACGCGGAGAGGCGTTGAATCTCGTCATCGATGTCTTCGATATCTCTGTCCATATCGTCGTCCCATCTCGTCTCCTTCCTTCTTGGAGTCACCAGAATAGGAGTACGTTGCTGCTCCCGTCGAGCTTCCTCCCGACATATGAGAAATTGGCTGCCGAAGATCGCCATCAATTCAGCCTTGGTAGCTTCTGCGTGCCATTCTGTTTCCGCCCGGACCTGATCCTGGAACCTCTTCCTCTCTTCTACCTCCTTCTGCAACCTCTCCTGTTCCTTTCTTTCCTGCATCATCTGACGAATGAACTCCTTCTCTTCCCCATCCTCTGGATTCCTTCTAGGAGTCCAAAACCTCGGCGTGTACTATAACCTGTCCGTGTTCGATCCATTTGTACCTTGCTATGGGCGACTACTCGTCGGGCATTCTCGCGAAAAGTGCCCTTCTCCACCATAAGTATAACATTTTAAGGGAGCCGCCATTCGAAACACCGTAAGAGTAAGTATCCCAACCAATACTGCTGCCGTAAATACCGGAGAGCTCTCTATGTGAAACTGACATAAATTACTACAGAGCAAAGGAAAATTCGTACTAATATATACGTTCCAGAGAACTAGGTGCAGCCTCATCTGTATTAACTCCCGTCGTTAATTATACCACACCACTACTCGACACTCATGAGTCGCATCGTCATAATAGATCACCATTCTAACAATACTGTCGTAGTCCCAAAATACTAACGCGCAACGCAAAACAATTCTCATCGCATATTGGTCGTCGACGCATCCACCCACGAGTGTGCAACCGCACTCACGGTTGCTACGCTAGTCAGAATATGAAACAGACTGTTCGGCAAACAGCCCCCGCATGAGGATAGCATTAGATAGTAATCCCAATAAGCACCAATGTTAATCACGCACGCAAGATAGAGCAAAAACTCAAACGCATCAAATCATACCATTACGAATAGGAGAAAACACTGCACGTTCAGCAAGAGTACCAATCTTTCTCATATATCCTCTAAAACCAAAATGACTCGTACCCTTCGAGTCGTGCACTCTCATATCCTTTTCCCACAACCTGGCGACCACTCCCCGACCAGTTTCGACTACCCTGCGAGTAGTGTTATCAGGAGGATTACTCAGATTCCAGCATCTGTAATCTGCTCGATGAAGGAGGCCATTCTACATGCCTTGCCCCCTTTATATACTAACCAACACCCATCCTCCACCACTCCCTCCATCCTACTCGTACGTCGGACCCGTGACGATTCTCTGAATACTCCATCGAGAAAAGGCACCAATCATTCATGTTCTTGGATCGTACCACCGGACAGGTGAATATGCTCATCCTCCTTAAGCAGAACCCGTGAAAACTCTGTGAAACTTCTATCGTGACGGCACTTCGATCATCAAAGTACTTGGATCGCTTCGTCGACCAGATAAATAGGCAGATCCTGCATTGAGCATAAAAAAACAACATCGCACAGACCACGAAAAATACAAAAAGACACAAAAGACACAAAAGACACAGGCAAAAGGCACACGAAAGCAACGGGACGAAATCCCATCCTTCCGGAAATAAGCGCTTCTTCAGCGCTACCGACTAGCTGTTCCAGAGATGCCGCTATGTTCCCCAATGCCGAGAGCAATGAAGGCTATGGCACGCGTTACTGTCAGCTACCATCTGACCGATGTACAGTCTCCAGTAGATCACCCGGTGATATAGTCCCCAGAAACCGCCGGGTCTTTATCACCTTGGAGTATACCACCATAACACAGCGTCGTACTGGTGTTTAAGAGAACCAAAAACGGGTAGAGGTACAGTGTTCAATTCCTGAAAACCTGTCCTCAAGAAAAGACCAAAAACAGAAGACAACGATGCCACTATCGGCTGGATCGCTTCATCTAAAAGGCCCAAAAACATGCTAAAAAACAGGTAGAGGTACAACAATGGATTCGTGAAAACCAGAGAAATAGACCAAATCAAAGAAATCCTATAGATAGGAAAACAGTAATGAAACATAGCATTTTTGGAGAAGTAAAGGTCGATTTTGCACCGTTATGGAGATTTCAGTGCATGACGAAACGACCAGCCAACAGTGCAATCGGAAGTATTATTTTGTTTTAAAACTGAAGAGTCTTTTCTGGAACCAAATCCAAGGACGTAAAAACTAACAGAAAACCTTGCAAGCCGAACATACGGGTTGGTAATCCTCTTTCTTTGCACTCATAATACTAAGGAAATAGAAGCTTGAAAACCAAGGCAGTAAAAACAGGGGATCCAGAGGAAGGCAAAAAAAAGACAACGGCAACTGATTTCAAATCACCAAAAGTTATGGACAGTCGATTGACCTGTTTCGACCATCGCGGAAATCCAACGACTTCCAAACACGACCTTATAGGCCTATAACACGAATTTGCGCAAATGTAGAAAAGAGTTGAATGTAGCGAGATTCGGAAGCGACCCTCGGAAATTCTCTCGAAATTCGGAAACCGTACTTTTCGAATTATATGCCTATAACGAAAGCTTGATAACGAAACATGAATAGTAGAATTTTAGTCCACAATCGGTCAAGTGTTTATAACCCTATAAACACAATGTTAAACATCATGGACATTCAACGGAATTCGGACACGACCTTAAAAGCATACAACGAGAATTTTAGGATAGTAGAAAAAAGCATAATTTTAGTCCACAATCGGTCAACTCTTTATAGCCCTATAAACTTAATGTTAAACATCATGAAAATTCAGCGAAATTGAGACTGTTTATAGCCCTGTAAACTCGATGTTGAAGAACGAGGAAATTCAGCGAAATCAAGACACTATCTCAAAATTATAAGTGAAAAACCGCAAAGTACATTGGAAAAGATTGTGAAAACAAAAACGTTGGCCACACGTGTCTGGCTGCAAACTGCGACCTACTGTTGTACAAATTTACAAGAATTTACAAACCGCTAACGAGTAAACTCAGATAACAAAAAGGTTGGCCACACGTGCATGGATGCGAACTGCGACCTAATGTTGTACAAATTTACAAGAATTTACAAAACGCTAACGACTAAACTCAAATAATGTGCCGAACAACGACAAAAGGAATCCTGCTCTAATGCGGAAGCAGAAATAACCTCGATCTCAATGACTCTCTGCCAACCTCCGAATCAATCGGTTCCTAGAAGGTCTTGCTAGTCGTCATCCTCCGTTGTCATGGAATTTAACATTTCAGAGATCTTTTGTATGGTCTGCGAGAAAAGGGTTTTGTCTGTTTTCAGTTGGAAGTTGTAACAAAGAACGCCGCAGGTCCAGTCGTAGACGTCCTCGGAAGGCTCTCTCGTAGTCTTTCCTTGAGGATTTGTCTTGAACTGAGGATAGTAACCCTCTCCTTTCTCACGTTGTGCGAACCAAGCAACTTTGAATCGTTTACCTGCTAGCAGCTCGACAACCTTGCCAATGTGGTAAGGTTTGCCTCTCTCTTCCTGCCCCGAACAAGCTCGTAATGCGATGAAAGTGTTGACCTCGAGATCGTTGTACTTTCCGTCTCTGTCCTCTCGAAACTGTCTGCTCTTGCGTGCGCCGATGTAGATGGGTCTCTCAGGAGGGAAAAGATCATCCAAGTGTTGGTCGAAGCCGATAGCGGTTTGTGGAACTCCTTCAGCTGCTCTGCTGACATCAACTGTTACGGAGGGCCACGGGAAAGGCTCTTTGAGATTTGTGTCCTCAAGGTCGAGAGTTTCCTGCGTTGCTATGAACTTGTTCCACCATTCGATGTTGTGGGGTTTAGCGTAATGCGACAGGGCATGTACGTTGGCTTTCAAGGCGGCGATGGAAAGTACAGCCTCGTCAACCTTGAATTTCGAAGATCCTCCCGCTTTTCGATTACGGACATGACCTTCACTGATGACGACCTTGTCACGCCTCTCGTCCTCCCCCCGACAAGTAAGTCAATATCTTGTTTCCAAAGATTGGATTGCATGCTTTGGCGAAGCTTGAACATGTTCTGTTGACTCTGACTTGAAGATATCCAGACCATTTCTGTTGTTCGGCTGCCACTGCGAATTATGATATTGCTTGCTCCAAATGCGCACCTCCCCTTCGTCGTTGCGCTTGATTCGGAAATGTTGGTTGAAGCTGATATCATTGACATTATGTAGATGATCCTGAACGTACAACTTCCAGTCCATTGTTTTCGTCATCTCATCAACGTGCATGCCATGATCTTGTTCTACCTTGTACGACTCCCTAATCACGTGTTGCAACTCAGGAAGATCGAATGCACCATGTCCAGCCAATTTCTCGAGAAACAACTGAACATCTGGTCGATGTCCTCGTGCGTGTGACCTACAAGAAGAAAGTTTAACTTAACTTTACTAAACACTTTCATTTTCACCAAGAACACGAGATAAGACAAGACAAATTTGTTCTTGTTCTCTTTCGAAGTGTTATCAAGTGTAAGATACAAGACTCTCGGAAATGGTACAGGAAGTTGAGAAATCTGACGATGAAGAACATTTGGCATGCAATTAGAATCTAATTTGAAGTTGTCAAAGAAAACGGTTGCAGAGGCGTTCGATGAGAGTCCTAGCACCTTAGCCCCAACCACGTGAACTTTCACAAAGTTCCATTCTTTTAGTTTCGAATCCTTTGGAACCCTAGTGAAGTGTGGCAGTATAGTCGTGCTCTGATCCATCCCATCAATGATCATTGCGACATACTCTAACGGATGACTTGAAGCCTTGTGGCGATGCTTACTGAGTTTTTGTCTCTCGTCTGCTAGCATTAACCGGTGCTTCTCTAGTGCCTTGCCAAACATTTTTGCGCACAAAACAAAACAAGCGGTTACTTTGTCAAAACATGTTAAAGAAAAGAGATAAAGCGCGATGAAGGGCCTTAAAATCGAAAGCAATGATTAGACGAAGTGTTATAGGCCTATAACTCAGGAAAGCCAGTCCACAAGTTTCGTGCATCATAAAATTATAGTTTGCGCAAGGCAACGCAGACGTCACTAATAACAAGAGCTTTTACTCTGAGATGTCGAAGAGGATTATTAAACAAAGTGTTACAGGGCTTTAACTCACAAAAGTGAGTCCACAAGCGTCGTAGAATCTTCAATTAATTCTTCCCCAAAATTTTTGTTTGATTGACTGAACGAGTTCGGGGAAAGCAACGCAGACGTCACGAAGACGATTATTAGATAAAGTGGTAAAGGGCTTTAACTCTTAAAAGTCGAAGACGGATAAGAGACAAAGTGTTATAGGAATATAACTGAGACAAAGAGAAGACGTTTAAGTATTTCTTTACTGAACTTTCTACTTTCCTAAGAATCCTTCCGAGTTTGCGCTGACACTAGATTCATTTTTCTTTCTACACGAAGAACATTTGGAGATAGAGAGAGAGAGAGGAAGAAGAAGAAGAAATAGGAGAGACGAAGAAGAGTTCCATGAGAATTCTTCCGTAAATGTGCAAGTCACAACCTCTACTTTCTGCAAAAACAACTTACAGGGATAAAATTCAAAACAATCAGTCGCGCTGTGGCAAACATCGAAGAATGAACACTGAGAGAGAGAGAGAGAGAGAGAGAGAGAGAGAGAGAGAGAGAGAGAGAGAGAGAGAAAGAAAGAGAAGATGGGTAAGGAAGACAGGGGGAAAGAAAATAAGCACTGAGGTTATGTCATTACCTCGTTCGAAGGCACTTGTTGCCTGTGAATGACCTGTCTTGAATTTCAAACATGTGGAACAGACCGAGAACTTCTTCAATGTAGGAATAAGAACTTTCGGGCAGTGAACCCTCCAAATGCTCATAAATCTGGAATGGGAAGGAAGAGTCTTATTCGTGTAGAGCTCTTTGCAGTCTCGCTTGAAAAAGTCGTACACGTCTCTACGCCGGAGAGTATTTGAAAGATGAAACTAATCGCTATTTGGCATACTCTCAGTATTGTATCAGAAATATCCATGCAACCAGGCGAGAATTTTCTGTGATGAAGCAGATAATCCAACTGATCCTTTGTTTGCATACTCGTACAACACCATTAACATAGTATTCGTGAAAACCTAACAAAACCAGAAAACCTAATATTTTTTATAGAATGAAAAAGTGAAAGTCAAACTTTTATTTTTGTCACATAAAAGAGAGCGTTTTTAACTGTTTCCCGAGAAAGAAGGCAAAAAAACTGGCAGAAAGTCCAACGGTTCTCAAAATGTGCAAAAAAATCTTTTCCACCAAAGAGCACGTCATAGGACTATAAGTCGTGCTTAGTACATTGACAAAAAACATAGCTCAAACAAGACAATCTTAAAGGTCTTCAAGGCGAACTCGAAAGATGTTAAAAAAAACAATTTCAGTGAATACTCATTTATAGAACTATAAGTCGTTTTCTCGAGTTTGGTGAAAACCAGATTCTGGGAAATCGAGTTTATAGAACTATAAATTAATACAACTTCATTTTTACTGTAAAACCCTTGTCAAAAAATATATATTATGTAAAAGAAGAATTCAAACAACTTTTGCCTGGGAGACATCTTCAAATTCTTAGCCAACCATAATTTAAAATTAAAAAATAGAAAATTATTTAATAAAAAACACTAAAAAATAATAAATTTATCCATGTATGAGAGAACATATCCAAGCAAATGTATTCGTGAACAGGAGAGCATGTGTGCGTGTTTGGGAGACCCCCGAATAGGTTCGTCGTGCTACATACCTTATAGAACTATAAATATGGTTTTTTCAGATAAACAAAAAATTGGGATAATTCGGTGCATGAACAAACGGTGTTTTGCAAGGTAGTGTTTTTTTGTAAAAAACCTTTCTTCTCTCCTCATCACTTGCACTGGTTCTGAAAAAGTATTTTCCTATTCCTTTTTTGCGGTTAATTTACTTCATATAAAATTTTGTTTGTGTAGGAGGCCTGAAAAATGTACTATCAGAATCTTTTAAAATTTTCGTGCAAACCTAACAATTTTTTTTGTTAGGTTTTCACGAAAACTATATTTATTCCTTCTCTGAATTCTTTTCGTATCTTTGCAACACGTGTAGTCGAGCATCACAGATTTCCCCACACTTTTGTGCAAACCTTTACGTCGTTGAATGTCACTCTTAACACCACTAAATCTCCCTCATCCGAAAAGTACGACGCAGCCCTCATCTCTGCGAGAAAGAAGTTGAGTTGCTTAGGTTGTTTCATCGCCCAAAATTCTTTGCGCTTGTAGAAAACATCTACCGACGTGAACTTCTTGTAACAGTTGGCCTTGCAGCAATCTTCCTTCAGAACTACTTCGACATTCTTCATGTTCACGTGGTAGTTAGCTTTCTTGTTGTACACACTTACGTTCGTGCCGTGCTTTCCCAAGTTGTAAGCAGGTTTCTCACTCTTGCTTGATTTGCTGTACAGTCCTCTTCTCACCTCCTGTGCTATTATTTGCTTCACTTCTCCCAAAAGATCTCCAGATAGACTCTTCTTGAACATGTCGACATCAATTCCCGACTCGTTCTTCCCTTCATCATCCTCAGAGTCTGTGTCTTCTGAATCAGCATCCTCGCTCGTTTCCTCCTCCTCCTCATCGTCGTCACTCGATTCGCCCTCCTCATCATCGTCGTCACTAGGTTCCTCTTCCTCAGTGCCGTTGTCTTGTAATTCTTGCGCCACGCTGCCGTGGAGCGTTTCTTTCACAACGAAGTTCTCGCTCATGTCTTGTACATCGTCTCTCTCTCTGGATTGTTCGCCTTCAACGTTCGGGCACTGGCGCTTCCCTGGGTTGCCAGCTGCGCAGACACCCATCACTGTGTTTGCTGCTCGGCATGGCGTAATAACCGTTCTTGTTGTCATGTTCGATCGCGGACGCTTCGAAAACAAGCAGACATCGGTGGTCTTTTCACCATTTGCGCTGACCTTCGGTAGAGGGTTCTGCTTCTCCCCTCTGCTTGTACAACATTGATGCAGGTCCGGAAACCACTTGACAATCTTCATCTTGACACTGTTGGCATCAACACTGCTCTTGCGTTGAGAAAGGTCTGGAAACCATCTCACGGGGTTACTCTTGCGACTACTCTGAGCACTTGTTTCGGTTAAAGAATCCATGACAGAAAGATACGTTACGACAACCTCTCTAGCGTGTAGAAGTGATGATGGCGTCACTTAGATTGGAGAAGACGCGGTGTTAGCGCGAGAAACTGCGTCGCTAACGCAGGGTTAACTCCTTGAACACGAAATCGGGAAGAATGAGAGAGACGACAACCTGTCCGGCGTCAGGAAATGACGATGGCGTCACCTACAATAGAGAAGACTCAGTGTTAGCGCGAGAAAGTGTGTCAGAGGACGGTCGGAAGAGCGTCGCTAACACGGGGGTAAACTCCTTGAACACGAAATGGAAACAAAAGGAAAACACTTGCTACTGCGACCCCGTCAAGAATATCAATGACAATTTGGGATTTCCCGCCAACAGATTTTAGAGAAGTAGAGTTCTTGAGCCGTTGGCGACAAAATTTCCGAAAGGCGGGACTGTCGGAGAAACAAATAATTCCGAGCGCCAGCTACTGGGATCCCATTAAAAATATTTTAAACATTTGATAAATTCCCGCCAAGGATCCCGTCAAGAATATTTTTAACATTTGACAAATTCCCGCCAAGGATCACGTCAAGAATATTTTTAACATTTGACAAATTCCCGCCAAGGTTTTCGCAAAAGTCCAATTTTCAGACCGTTAGCGACAAAAGTTCGGAGAGGCTCAGCCAGGACTCCGGTAAAACAAATCATTTCAACCTCCCAGCCAGTGGGACCGTCGTCAAGAACGTTGTCAAAAGTTTAGAATTTCCCGCTGAAGGCCGTCTTCAAGATTGTAATTTTGGAGAGCTACCGACAAAATTTCGGAGAACCGCGACCCGGTAAAACGACACATTCTGAACGTCAAGCGTCCGCTTGCGCTTTAACTGGTTCCCGCCTATGTTAAATGCGGAATTTAATTTCTTGGAGACCAAACCGTGAAAATTTGGAAAACCCCGCTACAATATTCCCGAATTATGAGAAAAACTCCGCAAGGTCGGGAGCGGCAAAAAGAATTTCAAAAAGGACGACAATCGTTGAGCGTCGTTGTTGTTCGAAGATCAAATAGACAAATACAAACAGAGAGAGAGAGAGAAAGCAGCGTCTAGCATCGTTGTAGTTGCTTAGAGGCCGTGGTTGCAGTGTGGATCGTCCTTAGTATGGAGCACACAAATTCACAAACACAGAGAGAGAGAGAGAGAGAGAGAGAGAGAGAAGAACTGTATTTGATCATTCCGCTGTAAGGTACAGTCCTTCGATGAGCGAAATAGAACAGGAGAGAGAGAGAGAGAGAGAGAGAGAGAGAGAGAGAGAGAGAGAGAGAGAGAGAGAGAAAGAGAGAGAGAGAGATTAACTGTATTTGATCATTCCGTTGTAAGGTACAGTCCTTCGATGGGCGAAATAAAACAATTTTTGTTAGAGACAATCTGATTATTCGTTCTTCAAAATAATGTACAACGAAACTGTGCGTCGACAACCGAGGCTAAAGATATAGCCCTATACTTCCGAGTCAAGCAACACTGACTGCGAGATGACTTTGCGTCCACAACCGAGGTTAAAGATATAGCCTTATACTTTCGATTCAGGCAACACGGACTGCGAAATGAAAAAAAAATACACCTTGAAAGGTCAGAAGATAACATATACTATTGGACAAGGAATTTGACACAAATGCTTGAAAAATTGTTTTTCTCATTTCGTCCTCTACCTTGCGTGGGTGTTTCGGATCTAATGATTTATTAATAAGTTGCCATATTTCTTGTAATTCTGTGATTTATTTACATTGTTCTTTGACCTTTAGAGGACTGTTTTTTCATTTCGTTGTCTTTGTTGTCTGAATCGGAGTTCTAGCACTTTATCTAGAACCTTGGCGAACACTGCATGTTCTTCTCTGACCTTTAAAGGACTAGATTTTTCCATTTCACTTTCAATGTTGTCTGATTCGGACTTGTAGGGCTATATCTCTAACCGTTGTTGTGAAGGACAATCTTCTTTCCGTGTTCTTCCTTAATAACCACGGTTAGAGATCTACTAATCTAGCCCTGTAGTTCCGATTCGGATAGCAATGAAAGCGAAATGGAAACAAAACTAGTCCTTGAAAGGTCAGAGAAGAACATGCAGTGTTCGCCAAGGTTCTAGATTAAGTGCTGCAGTTCAGATACAGACAACAAAGACAACGAAATGAAGAAAACAGTCCTCTAAATATCAGAGAAGGAACGCAAAATGTACTACGTGAAATTTTTGTCAAGGACTTGTCTTTCTTATTTCTTCTTGTTCCTGACCTTGTTAAAGGGATTCAGGAATGTAGGTGCAACCTGCTTGAATTGTCTCGTTTATGTCATTTGCAAAGGTCATTGTAGGCCTATTCATCCGTCTTTTTTATACCGTCCTCCTCCTAAGCCAAGGTTACAAACATAGCCCTATAAGTTTAGGCAAGAACGACACCAAAATGGTAGAAACACTCCTTTAATGGTCGGAAAAGAACCCACAAAAATCCAATCTCGAACAAGATATGTTCTTTTCCGACCCTTAAAGGAATTTTTCTACCTTTTTACTGTCGTTCTTGCGTGAACTTAAGATTAAAGGGCTATGTCCGTAATTTTTTTGCTGTTTTTTTTTAATGTCTAAGTCGTCTGCAAAGGGTTTGATTCCCCGAGCGAAAGAAATTGCGATGAAGAGAACCACCGGGCGTCGGTGCTCCGCTGCAGGTGGGACAACTCCGAACTTATACTTTTGGGTCCAGACGGGCTGGCCCAATCGACAGTCATGTGTAATTTTGGCTGAGAAGGAGGACGATCTACAGAAGACGGATGATACAAACGCTAGGATGACTGTTTTTTTGGATTCGTCTTCTTCCTTGCCTGGATGTAAGGATTGAGGACTCTGTTAGTAACCCGCATCCTTAACCTCCAGCTATGTTCTTCCTCCTCCTCACACAAACACACATAGCCTTACCATCTTCCTCCGGCTACTCCATGCCTCATCTTCCTCCTTGCCATGTTCTTCCTTCGTCCTCCTCACACAGATACACATAACCTTACACTGTCATCTTCTTACTCCTCTTCCCCTCTCCTTCTCCTACTAGTCCAGCTCCTTACCATCTTACTCTTTTTTCCTCCTCCTCACACAGACACA